TTCTTTTGGTGAAGGCCCTTGGCCTTAAAGGGTGTTATTTCGAACTTGTCGAAATATTAACCTGTCGTCGTTTGATCTAGGTCAAACTCTTCTTTTGGCAAAGGCCCTTGGCCTTAAAGGGGTGTTATTTCGAACTTGTCGAAATATTTACCTGTCGTCGTTCGATCAAGGTCGAACTCTTCTTTTGGTGAAGGCCCTTGGCCTTGAAGGGTGTTATTTCGAACATGTCGAAATATCAACCCTTCGTCGTTCGATCGAGGTCGAACGCTTCTTTTGGTAAAGGCTCTTGGCCTTAAAGGGTGTTATTTCAAACTTGTCAAAATATCAACCCGTCATCATTCGATCGAGGTCGAACTCATCTTTTGGCAAAGTCCCTTGGCCTTAAAGGGTGTTATTTCAAACTTATCGAAATAGTAACCCGTCGTCGTTCGATCGAGGTCAAACTCTTCTTTTGGCGAAAGCCCTTAGCCTAAAAGGGTGTTATTTCGAACTTGTTGAAAAATTAACCCGTCGTCGTTCGATCGAGGTCGAACTCTTCTTTTGGCGAAGGCCCTTGGCCTTAAAGGGTGTTATTTCGAACTTGTTGAAATATTAACCCGTCGTCATTCGATCAAGGCCGAACTCTTCTTTTGACAAAGGCCCTTGGCCTTAAAGGGTGTTATTTCGAACTTGTCAAAATATTATCCTGTCGTCGTTCGATCAAGGTCGAACACTTCTTTTGGCGAAGGCCCTTGGCCTTAAAGGGCGTTTTTTTCGAACTTGTCGAAATATTAACCTGCCGTCGTTCGATTTAGGTCGAACTCTTCTTTTGGTGAAGGCCCTTGGCCTTAATGGGGTGTTATTTCGACATTGTCGAAATAGTAACCTGCCATCCTTCGATCAAGGTCGAACTCTTCTTTTGGCGAAGGCCCTTGGCCTTAAAGGGTGTTATTTTGAACTAATCGAAATATCAACTCGTCATCGTTTGATCGAGGTCGAACTATTCTTTTGGCGAAGGCCCTTGGCCTGAAAGGGTGTTATTTCGAACTTGTCAAAATATTATCCTGTCGTCGTTCCATCAAGGTCGAACACTTCTTTTGGCGAAGGCCCTTGGCCTTAAAGGGTGTTATTTTGAACTAATCGAAATATCAACTCGTCATCGTTTGATCGAGGTCGAACTATTCTTTTGGCGAAGGCCCTTGGCCTGAAAGGGTGTTATTTCGAACTTGTCAAAATATTAACCCATCGTCGTTCGATCGAGGTCGAACTCTTCTTTTGGAGAAGGCCCTTGGCCTTAGTGGGTGTTATTTCGAACTTATCAAAATATTAACCCGTTGTCGTTCGATCGAGGTCAAACTCTTCTTTGGCGAAAGCCCTTGGCCTTAAAGGATGTTATTTTGAATATGTCGAAATATCAACCCGGCGTCATTCGATCAAGGTCGAACTATTCTTTTGCCGAAGGCCCTTGGCCTTAAAGGGTGTTATTTCAAACTTGTCGAAATATCAACCCGTCGTCGTTCGATCGAGTTCGAACTCTTCTTTTGGCAAAGGCCCTTGGCCTTAAAAGGGTGTTATTTCGAACTTATCGAAATAGTAACCCGTCATCGTTCAATCAAGGTCGAACTCTTCTTTTAATGAAGGCCCTTGGCCTTAAAGGGTGTTATTTCAAACTTTTCGAAATATCAACCCGTCGTCGTTCGATCGAGTTCGAACTCTTCTTTTGGCAAAGGCCCTTGTCCTTAAAAGGGTGTTATTTCGAACTTATCGAAATAGTAACCCGACATCGTTCAACCAAGGTCGAACTCTTCTTTTAATGAAGGCCCTTGGCCTTAAAGGGTGTTATTTCGAACTTGTCAATATATTAACCTGTCGTCGTTCGATCAAGGTCGGACCCTTCTTTTGGCGAAGGCCCTTGGCCTTAAAGGGTGTTATTTCGAACTTGTCGAAATATTAACCTGTCGTCGTTCAATCTAGGTCAAATTCTTCTTTTGGCAAAGGCCCTTGGCCTTAAAGGGGTGTTATTTCGAACTTGTCGAAATATTAACCTGTCATCGTTCTATCAAGGTCGAATTCTTCTTTTGGCAAAGGCCCTTGGCCTTGAAGGGTGTTATTTTGAACATGTCCAAATATCAACCCTTCGTCGTTCGATCGAGGTCGAACGCTTCTTTTGGTAAAGGCCCTTGGCCTTAAAGGGTGTTATTTCAAACTTGTCGAAATATCAAATCGTCATCATTCGATCGAGGTCGAACTCTTCTTTTGGCAAAGGCCCTTGGCCTTAAAGGGTGTTATTTCGAACTTATCGAAATAGTAACCCGTCGTCGTTCGATCGAGGTCAAACTCTTCTTTTGGCGAAGGCCCTTGGCCTTAAAGGGTGTTATTTCGAACTTGTTGAAATATTAACCTGTCGTCGTTTGATCGAGGTCGAACTCTTCTTTTGGCGAAGGCCCTTGGCCTTAAAGGGTGTTATTTCGAACTTGTTGAAATATTAACCTGTCGTCATTCGATCAAGGCCGAACTCTTCTTTTGGCAAAGGTCCTTGGCCTTAAAGGGTGTTATTTGGAACTTGTCAAAATATTATCCTGTCGTCGTTCGATCAAGGTCGAACTCTTCTTTTGGCGAAGGCCCTTGGCCTTAAAGGGTGTTATATGGAACTAATTGAAATATCAACCCGTCGTCGTTCGATTGAGGTCGAACTATTCTTTTGGCGAAGGCCCTTGGCCTTAAAGGGTGTTATTTCGAACTTATCGAATAGTGACCCATCGTCGTTTGATCGAGGAAGAACTCTTCTTTTGGAGAAGGCCTTTGGCCTTAAAGGGTGTTATTTCGAACTTGTTGAAATATTAACTCATCGTCGTTCGATCGAGGTCAAACTATTCTTTTGGCGAAGGTCCTTGGCCTTAAAGGGTGTTATTTCGAACTTGTCGAAATATTAACCCGTCATCATTCGATCAAGGTCGAACTCTTCTTTTGGCGAAGGCCCTTGGCCTTAAAGGGTGTTATTTCGAACTTGTCAAAATATTAACACGTCGTTGTTCGATCAAGGTCGAACTCTTATTTTGGCGAAGGCTCTTGGCCTTGAAAGGTGTTATTTCGAACTTATCGGAATAGTGACCCGTCGTCAGTCCTAGTTTTTAGAGAATCAGACATTTCCTGGGGGAGTCCCAGTTCGTTTGACATTGCTTGCATCAGAGGGTGCAACGTCGGAGAATACGAAACGTTGTTGTTTCGCTTAGTTTCATTCTTCGCACATATTGTAGTTTCTTTGTCTGACTCCTGCCTTTCGACTTGGAGGTGTCATCGGCGGGCGGTGTTTCGGTTGTTTTGCAGTAGTTTTTCATTCTTTTGTTGAGATGTTTCTTTACTCGCTCGCCTGTGTGGCCTTTGTGTTCCTACTTGAGCAAAGAGTAGAAGGTGAGTTAGAATGATACTTTCCTTGCTCCCCTCCCCTCGGTGGTCCGATGGAGGAGAACAGGTTGGTAATGTTGTTTGCCTTGTTTGGCATATCGATGGTTGATGGGGCAAAGATTTCTAAGTTTGGTAATTTTACTTGGCTCTCCTCCCCCTACCGCGCTGCACCTTTATCCCGCGAGGGTTGGATTTTTCCTTCGCGCTCTTTTCGGTGGGTGATCATATTTTTTGTCTTTGATTTGGGAGAGACTAGGAAATTTCACTAAGAAATCCCCACAGACGGCGCCAAATTATTTGACTCAAAAGATATCAAAATCTTTTTGAATAAATCAATCAAAGAAAATGAAGGGGTAAATCTTAGTCATACATAATAAATTCCAGATCAAAGAGTTAATAGTGTAGATAATTCATAGGATGGAAGAAATAAAGTTGATCTTATTGAAATTCAACATTGTGACTCCCATCAATCGATGGGGGAGATAGCTTTACATGTTCTTCTGCAGATTACTTCTTTTCCATAAAGATTACAAGAAGAGAGTTTGAGAGAGAGAAGGGGGAGCAGACCCCCTTAATCGAAGGTTTTTTCCTACTATATATAGTAAAGACACCCTTGCCATTTACTTGGTCCGACGCTCTCTCGCATCTAGTGTGCCTTTATCGTTCTTTTAGACATTACTCCTTCTAACTCGACAGGTGTCGGGTATGAGAAGTAGAGTGTGCTATGTTATGTTTTACTGCCCAATCTCTTAGGCGAGATGTTGATCAGCTCGACCGTGACGGTCAGATTTTGACCAATACACCACGTATGAGCCTCTTTACAAAACTTGCAAAATATGACATTTTCCAATAACATCATACACAAACCTTTTTTCTTCCAAATCAGGGGGGGAAAGCTTGATAAAATCACCCCAATAATAATAAAAATGAAATCTTACAAGTAAGGTTTGGGGATGGTAGTGTACACACAGAGAACTTGCCCTTACCTTGAGAAGGTAGAAAGATTATTTCCGATATACCTTCGACTTAAAAAAAGATAAGAAAAAGCAGCAGTAGCAACAAACAGTAACGCCAAAAATCTAATAAGAACATCAAAGCGAAAGAGACAAGTAGTAATTAGGAATCTACGGCGAAAAGATAACCTCCAACCATCCAGTTTTTCCAGTTTTGTGTCCATATTCACATTTTGTACAATATTACATATACAAGGTACAATTTGCCTTGGAGAAACTCCAGGAGACTTCAATCAGGTCCTTTTACTCTCAAATATTAGCGCTTGATTACGGACATACTTATTCCATTTTAGTCTCCGTTAGTCGGACTAGGATTGTGCACTAGCTAGGGGCCAACTGCTGAACGTTGCCTCATAATTGTTTCCTGTATATGCTCATAAATTTGGCTACAAATTCTGCAACCACAGATATAAATCAACAATGATCAACATAGGTGGCTCTATGTCTACCATCATATACAACACAGAGGCAAATAAAATTTAGAATTTGAAGTTAATGGGTTCAGTATTACATAATACCTTCTAATTTTAAGAGAGCATTTGTTCCAACTGGGAGCCTTTTTTCCTGCAAATGGCCTAGGGTTACTCCATATATTAGTTTTTCTCAAAAAAAAAATTGAAAGATATAAGGGGTTGAACTTACATAATAAGCATGCCAATAATATATTTCCCTTTTTAAACCTCCATCAACCCTCTTAAGGAATTGTTCAACAAGTTTCTGTGTGCATTGATAAAAAATCAGAATCATGTCATGGAGATTCGTTAAATGCTACATCTTCAACCATTCTCATATATAAAACTATATGTATTTTACCAGGAGTATAAGTTTTGGGTGCACAAACTCGACTAGGAGTTTTTGGAACTTGCCCCGAATAGAAAATAACCTGATCAGACGAATACACACTGTTAATTTCAATATTTCTGTCAAATAATGTGCTTCCAATACATTATGTTACAAACAATTCAAGAAATTATATGGAAACAGAGGCGGATGTAAAGCATATGGTAGAAGTTCGGCAAAATTCAATAGTTTTGCATTAAATCCTGTATATTTGTTACGAAATTCACCAAATGTATACATATAATAAACTGCGAACCCAATAGAATCAGTGGCGAAGCCACATGATCACAAGGGTGGTCAACTGACCACCCTTCGCCGAAAAATTGTATTGTGTATGTAGGTAAAATATTATGTTTTAGAGGTATATAACATATATTGAACGCCCTTTGTCCGGAAATTTTTTCACTTCTTTCAAATTTGAATACCCTTAGAAAAATTTCTAGCTTCGCCATTGAATAGAATAAATGGGTAGTGGGTTCGGTGGCAAGCAAGGATCACTAGAACCCATAAACTTTAAATTCTGGATCCGCCTGCCTGGAAAAACGTAACACATGACAATCAAAAAGGGTCTGAAATTGCCCCTTAGTGCCTAAGATGAATATCCAAGTTCTTGATTACCAATATGTTCGGTTTAATTGAACAAGAATTTCCTAACAAACAAAAGGAAGGGAGAAAAAGATAAAATAGGAAAGAAATTAATACCTTGTTGGAGTTGGATCAGCTAGAATTTCAGCTGCAAGTTCTACTACAGATTCTTCCCATCCTACTGAAATTGGTTGATCCTCAGCAAAAGGATAGCTGTACAAGTGAGGGTATCATTAAGTACTTTTAACACATTTTCTCGGTCGGCCAAAAACATTTACAGCCGCTAGCCGAATATATAAAAAATATACTTTAAAGTATGTATATTATATATTAATACACTGTGTAGATTTCCCTATCATTAATCCACAACGTAGCAAGCAAATTATGTGTAAATAATAGTCTTACTTGTGTGCTTTGCAAGCTTCAAGAGCCATAATTGCTCTTCTCAGGTTTTGCTTTGATTTTGTAGCTATTTTAGCAGCAAAGCCCCTAGAAAGTTCAAGGTCTTCCTTTCTTGCTACCTCAATGAGAACTTCCATAATCTTCACAAAGCAAAAAAAAAAAACATAATGAGTAGATGTGATTATGGTTAAAGCGTAAGCGTAAGACGTGTATCCCTGGGAATTCAACAAGTTCTTCTAGTGTAAACTAACAGCAAAAACATAAAAAATTAATAAGAACGTCGAGTATGGTGGAAACTAAGATTGCAGAAACAATAATTCCAGCCTGTGTTAGCTCGTTTTCAGGAGAATTCAGGTTAAATTTGGACACAATATTATCATAACTTCTCTTTTACTATGAAACGGAAACTTTATATCGTGCTATATGATGTTAGAAAATATGGACATCAAGTTTGGTTTAGCATGATCTATACTATAAAGCTTATGTTACAGATTCTTTATGTTGATCAATTGAAACAATCACCAGATAAGCACATGCCAATAGCTACGGTTGATCACTGGAGATCAGAAAACGAAATTTAATTTGAGGTCCTAGGCCTATATCTTTACCCTGTCCTGTGCAAAGAAGATAATACTACTATGGTTAAAATTTTGTGCACTTACTTCATTAGTCGCGGGAGCTTCAACTTCAATCACTGTGCAGCGACTTTTCACTAACTCGAGTATAGATGCATCGGTTTCACAGAAGAGAATGAGCTTACAGTCCATTATCCATTTTATTAAGTGTTGCATGTTCTCCTCAGCTCTATCCGCATCGTGCAGAACTATAACTGTAAGCAGCAACGTAATTAGTAGTATCAAATTAATCCCCAAAAAAAGAAAAACTGAAGTTATGCAATGTTAATAAAGCTGTTGTGTCTATATAGATATGAACCTTTGGAATCTGCCTTCATATTAATCCTGCTTACTTCTGGAGTTAGTGTGTATTCACAGCTTATTTGCTTAACCAAAGCCATTAATGCAAATCTAGCATTAGGCTCTAAATGAACATTGAGCTCAATATGGTGAGGACTTGAGCTTACTGGTACAATGACTTGAACCGGCTTCGTTTCCTGCCAACAGAAAGGAGAAAGATGAGAATGAAAGTAGAAACAATGGCAAATTAATAATTAACAAATCAGAAAAAGGAATTCAAGCCAAATGTACCTGGATGTAGAAGTATTTCAGATCATGGGATATCTGCAAAAAATTAACATAAAATGCTGAGATAGGTCTAGTAATGAACCCGAAAACGAAAATGTAGTGTAGCATTGCATCTTCTCAAGGCAAGCTTACTTACATTGCAAATTGCATCGCCATAGATTTCACGCAAAAGAGCCATCGATAATGCTCTTTTTCCATATCCCGGAGGACCCTTGAACAACATGTGTGGGAGTGGTTCATTTGAAGAAACCTAAGAGGAAAAGTGTTAGTAACTAGTCATTGCTATAGATGTCCAACATCTCATTGCATTGTGATGCAAGTGCAAGAATGCAAAAGAATGGAATACGGCAGCTAGCATCGAGTTAGTTATAGGTGTCAGTAAGTTAGTTACAAGTTAGTTAAAAGTTAGTTAAAACAGTTAGTTGGGAAATGTACTGTAGAGTGAACGGTAGTAGCTCATTACTTTCAATAGTTGTGATATAAATACATTACTACATTGTAGCTGGAGGCATTCATGAGTAAGATCACTCTATTCTCTCTTCTTACACCTTCACTCAGCTAATTCTCTCGGTACTACCCTCAGCTAGCTATCATCTTCTTCGAGCTTAGCTCCTAGATTAACAATTTCCTTTGCAATTATAACTAATTGCATCAATTGGTATCAGAGCAATCGATTCTCGGCATAATCAAACATGACCGGCAGTAAAAATCAAGATAAACCAGTTGATGAAATGGAGGAAAAACTATCACAGATTCAAGAGCAGTTACAGAAGGTAATGGATGGCATGACAAGTATGAGTGAAAGGAATTCACAAGCTGATAAGGAATTGTTAGGGCTTAAAGAGGCTATTGGAATTATCACCTCAAGGGGAAAGGAACAAATTGTAGCTGAGTCTTCAATCAACAGAGGGGAACCAATGAAGGTTAGGAACAAGAGGATAGAGTCGAGGGCTCACAACGACCACATTCAAGTTTAATGATCACTATGTCCAATTAAATCGGTTGATAATTACCAGAGTCAACACAAGAGTCAAAAAGTTACTAACTAGAGTTATTTCTTTTGGGAACCCTATCTCTAACCATAAGTACGTAGGTAAGTGTGTTGGTGCCAAATGAAACATGTTTGACTTTTCGAGCATGACTTAATTAGGTCTTTTTATTCATTACTACTACTACTATTACTACCAAAACACAAAACAGACTCATTCCCTTAAGAATGTTGTCACGTCATCCATCATTGGAATGAGTCACCCGGTTCACACAACAACTACCTTTGGAAAGAACCATGGTATTAAGAAAACCAAAGGTATTTATTATCTACTAAAACATAAAAAAAAGTTACTAAATCAAACACCAACTAATAAAGAAACAAACATGAAGAAGCTAAAAAGCAAAAGCTATTGACAGTGGAACGAATATACATAATGAGAGAAAGAGAGAGAGAATATATNATGCGAAATGTCTCAGAATGTATCAAATAAAACAAATAAACTCCACCCCCTGTATAAAGATAAGTATTGTACCCAATGCTTAATAAAATAAGAGTAAAAGAGGGGAAAGAGTGAAGAGAAATCCCTATGGCTCCTTGGACATCTCTGTGTCCCCATCAATGTCATCGCATTCTGGCTCAACCAACTGGATCTCATCATCCTCAAATCTAGGTGTGGCTGGGTTGGCGAACATCTGACGCACTGCCTCAGCAGTGTCGGCAGAAAGGTCAGGCTAGTCAGACTGGCGAGCTGGTGCTACTAGTGCAGATGGGGCTATAGGATCAGGTGCTAACTGGTGTAGGTCAAGTAATATGTCAAATGAAAGATCTCTGGCTATAACAATTCTGTTCATTTCTCTTTGGAGCTTGTCCACTGATTTCGTGCTAGCTTGGGATTTCCTCATCTCCTTTACTTCATTTCCTAGCTCTTTGATTATTGTCCCGTGATGTACCAAGGTAGCCATGATAGTGTTCTGGTTTTCTAAGAGACAATGGCTTTTCAACGATCGGAGGAGTATGAGGTGTCGAAACAGAAGACTGCACTATAACATTACTAGATAAGTTAGATAGCTTTGTAGTGGCTGTCTGCATCTAGTTGTTGAGACTCGTCAATGTCTAGGAGACTCACAGTGCAGAGAGTGGGCTAGTAGGTATGGGCATTGGCTTCAAAGCTGAAGAGGAAGTTGTGGTAGGAACTACAGTAAGGACTGTAGATGATGGTGGAGGCATGATTGTGGCACTGGAGGAAGGCTCGGCCGACGTGGATGTAACATCATCTGTCTCAACAACTACCACGTCTAGCTCATCAAACTGGATTGTGGTGGTAGAAGGCTGAACTTTCCTTTTCGGATTGTTACATCCATAAATGAGTACCAAGATAAAGGCTTCTTCAGCTTCACCTTTTTATCAAAATCCCTTGGCTCTACCCTTGCATCCATAAGACACTCTATAATGGCGTTGGGATATGGGTAGGACGAGTCATCTTGTCGGGCGATCACTAAGATATTGGTCGGCATCACGATACCACATTAATCGGGTACCCGACTATAATAAAAGCAACCAAGACTGCCCGAGGAGTTGACAAGTGAGTTCCATTTTGACTCCGGTCTAGTCTGCTGCTGACAAAGGATTGCTACCATTTTTCCTTGAAGCTTAGTATGCTTCGGTGGATAGGAACCCCAGCGGCAATCCATGGGGGTGGTGGTCCTGGTGCTGATAGAATCTTCGCTAACCAAGGACAGACTGCATCTCCAAGTGCACGCTTCTCCAAGTATTCTTTTGGCTCGACATCATCAAAGCCCAAGTATGTGTTGAATGTGAGTTGATCAAATCGCACTCTGAGGTTACACACTTTTTTCACCTTTGTCCCCTTTTTGATATGTGCCACATTGGCGTAGAATTCTCAGACAAGGTATTCCTCAGCATCCGCTATGCTCTAAGTAAACCATATCCACCTTTTGCGTTTTCTCAACTGTCTCAGCATGGCCCGGTTATATGTCCCCAAATCTGTCAATAAGAACCGTCGCTCAAGGGCTAGCTATCTCGCCAACCACCATGTGCAGAAGCTAGTAAAAGCTGGCAGGATGACAAATCGGTCCTCCTAGACCTCTCTTCTTTGTTCTTTCAAGCCTGGCAGTTGTAGCATCTCCTCCTCTACCATAATCGGGGATGTCCTGAATGGGTGTATCTTGTATCATAGGGACTAGTGTATCCGAAGGCTTAGAAGCCTGACTAGCACTTTTCGATCCCTCGAAAGTGCTATGAGATGAGGACGACTCGTCCCTGAGTTCGAATCTCCCTGGTGGCCTTAGATGTACTGCCGGCTATTCTCAAATAGAGGCTAAGTTTCCCTCTGATACGTCCCTAGACGGGGCATATGAGCTCATCTCGAAGAGGTCTGCTCCTCTCTCTCTCCTGGTTGTTATCTTTTTTTTCCTGATTTCCTTTTGTGGGGCAGGAGGTAAGGCTCTCTTGCCTCATCCCCGAGAAGGTTCACCCCTCCCTTTTGATGTGTCACCTCTTTCCCTAGAATGAACCATTGTCTGTACCAAGCAAAGATGATTGCTAGTTGCAATTCAATGTTCAAACATGCACAGAGGACATGCAAGTAAGATATATACTAGAAAACACAGTGAGGTTCACAATCAAAACAAGCTTGCAAGACATTAACACTCAAAGCATGCTTGTAGGACAAGTGGCCTAAAAAGAACAAAAAATCTATAAATTAAACTAAAATAAAGAAAATTAACAAAAAATTGAAGCATACAAGATGAATGAGTGTAGTGAGTGAATGCTCAGAGATGTTGTGTGTGGGGATAGTTGGAATCACCAAAAATTCTCAATAGAGTGCTATTTTTGGTGTTCAGAGAGTGAAAATCTTAACCTTTGCCCCTACCATTCTATTTATACTTATGGTCAACAAAAAGGGGAAGAAGATCGAGTGTGGCAGCACATTTTCATGTGAGGTCCGCACTCTATTACCTGGGGCTTCATCTTCAACATCTCATCTGCAGTCCACACAATTTAGTATGTGGCCGCAGATCTCATGTGCGGTCGCACATCAACCTATTCTCTAATATACTCAAACTTCAGAGAGTTTGTATTTTCCATCTCTCATTTGTGCAGTCTGCAAGATAATTGTGCGGCCACATTGATCTTTTGCTAGAGCACTCCAAATTGTGTGGTTCGCACAAATCAACTGTGGTTTGCACTTCTTTCAATACTTAGCCACATTTTTGTCCACAGTTCCTGTAAGTCACACTCGGCCCTACAGCACACTTCAAATCTCACATAGTGGTTCAACTCATCAGGGAAATGATAATTTCTTTACTCGATTCTCAAAATTAGATTTTCCTTGATTCTCTGGTATAGATTTTTGTAAATGGTTGTATAAGGTCAACCAGTACTTTTCTATGGATGAAGTTCCTTTTGAACAAAGGGTGAAGGCGACATCCATTCATATGGATGGTGATGTCATTGCTTGGCATAGGTCTTATGTGAAGTCTCCAACTTCTACATTGGATCTATCATGGACTGAATATGTACTGGCTTTAAATGAAAGATTTGGTGATAATTTTGAGGATCCCATGGAAGCCTTGAAGAATTTGAGTCAAACTGCCGGGGTTAGGGAATACCAAGCAGAATTTAACAGACTATTAACTGGAGTTAATCTAACAACTGAGAATGTCATTAGTTGTTCTTTAGGGGGTCTTAAACCAGAACCGAATAAAGCTGTAAGAATACAAGTACCAAGAACATTAATGTAAGCCTATATATAAACCAACTTTGTTGAATATGAGATGATTCATGCACCAGGCTGCCCTTTTTTATTCGATCATAGAGGACTATAAAAAGGCTCCAAAGATTAACATGTGTAAAGCAACCTTATCGTCTACGTGCGCAGTCAAACAACGTGATAAAATTGAAAGCACATTGATAATATTTCATGTATCAGGAAAGGGAATTAGATCATCTTTATCAATCTGAAAGTTAAGACACTTACAAGATGACTAAGTAGTAAAGCTTGTTGCTTGTTGCAAATGAATCCCTCCAATGAATCAGGTTGATGTTTATCAGCCCAAAATTGTCTCAAACTTTCAACAACAAATGCCTTCTCAATTAATAAAGCTTCATTAATCGGCCTCGCTCTTTCTGGAGATCCATCTTTTCTTGAGTTTCTACAAGATCCATTCTTTATACAAGAAAACCATGCTTCTGTTTGAGTAGTACTCTTTTTCCTATTTGTTATGAATTTTTTCGCACTTCTATTCGTCCTTCTAGTAGCATCACTTAGATTACTGCTCTGCCTACTTATAGCAGAACTCGGATTCGTTGTTGCTGTTCGTGTCACAATAGTACTAGATGAAATAGTTCCCCTGCTATTCTGCTTGAAATTCGCGCGCATTTTATTCACAGAACTAACATTTTTATCAGTCGATATCCGGGGCACTGAATTGAATTTGCTTGATTGAGTAAAAGCTGAATATCCCTTAGACAAGAAAATATCACTTGGTGAAATAGATTCAGTACTTTGAAACATATTATTCACACCAACTGGAATATTGGGGCCTCTTGAGATCTTTGCATTGGCTAACATTACATTCATTTCACCTACTGAAGGTTCATGTTTGCGCTGTATTTCTCTTTCTCGTTCTCTCCTGGACAAAGTCCTCGTTGGGGATCGTGTTATTTCTGCTCTTCTCCGCTCCTTGGACATGTCGTAAAGAGCAGGTCTAGGAGCGGATAGAGCCCTGCGACTATATATATAGTTTGCTTTGCCACGAACTGCAACATCATTGTTAGTACTATTATTTAGTACTATGTTATTTTGCTTTCTAGTTGAACTCGAAAAGCTTTGCTTGTCAAGGTGATGTTCCTCTTTCGAATTATGTCTACCTCGATGTTCGGATTTTGAAAAGGGGCTGACATTTCTACGTGCATTTGAATGTGAAAATGGACTAATAACATGTAGAGTAAGTCCAGGAAAATGAACATCACCTTCATCTCTGCGCGATTTATACGGGGATTTGCTAGGCCTTCTCCGGTTTATACTCCAAAATTTGTTCGCTTGATCAAAGGCTAATACATTTATATCAACATTCTTTGCATTTAGTCTTGGACTTTCCTGCCAATCGGTCTCTGTATCAGATGGCTCATATCCACTTCGCCTTTGCTTCACAAATGACGAATTTTTAACTTGTAACGCTTTGTTAGAAGCAGAATAACTCTCCATTTTAGCAGATTTTTTTTTACAAACTTTGGTTTGGATATTGGAATTTCAAAGAATATTCTGTTTTAAAGAAGCTTTTGGACAAGAAATACTACCTAGGATTGGCAATTAACGAGAATACCTAGGAAAACGTCGGGGAAAATGATGGAGAGGTCTCATATCTCCAATTCATATCCTTTGTCAAACGTTTTTACGTACACCATTAAAGAAAGATATTTTAAATAATTTCAAAAACTTTTGGCCGAAAAAAATATTTCACCTTGTTTTCCTTTCAAACTGCCCAAAAAGAACTTTCATCGGTAGTGACGTTTATGAAGGATCAACCCTTTGATTTATAATTTTTAAGTTTTTGGAGTGTCTTTAAACTTAAACATCATGATATGTGTTGAATATGTCTTCATCCCACGTCGGTGGGGGACTTGTGTTTGGGGAGAATTTCTCCCTATAAAAGGAGGCCTAATGTTTAGGATTTAAACACGCCTCTTATTTGCCTTATTATCTTCATAAGGCATTTGTATATTCTCTCTTTAATATTATTTCACTTGTATTTTGGAGTGGAATAAAATATTGGTTGTGTTCGAGGAAGTAGGCAAAATTGGCCGAACTTCGTAAATTCTGGTGTTCCTTTTATTATTGTTTTATTGTCTTATTTATGTTGTCATATTTTTTGGTATAGTAGTTGTGACTCATTCACACTATATACATTTGGCTTCCGCAACAATTGGCATCAGAGCCAAGAGTACTGTCTAAGTATGCTTTGTGGTTACAGCATAGTCTGATCTTCCACATCAGAAAAGATTTATCTTGGTAACTGAGTCAAAGTTCTGTCTGAGTATGTTCTGTGGTTGCAGCTTAGTCTGATCTTCCACACCAGAAAGGAAATAATCTTGATTTGTGTCGTCAGCTATTAAATAATATTTGTGTTAAAGATGGGAGACAATAAACAAGAAGAATCTACATCAAGTGTCAACAACACGTCATCATTGGCATCTTCGCTTATAACAAGAATTGTGTCAAATGAGAAATTTGCGGTAGAAATTTTTGACGGATCAGGACATTTTGGGATGTGGCAAGGCGAGGTTCTAGATGTCCTTTTTCAACAAGGGCTAGATCTTGCCATTGAAGAAAAAAGACCAGATGTTATTGGAGAAGAAGATTGAAAAATTATCAATTGTGTCGCTTGCGGTACCATTCGATCCTACCTTGCTAGAGAGTAGAAATATTCATATACAAAGGAACTTTTGCAAGTAAATTATGGAAAGCACTAGAGGATAAATTTTTAAAGAAAAACAATCAAAATTAATTGTACATGAAGAAGAGACTGCTTCGCTTCACTTATGTTCATGGTACTACAATGAATGAACATATCACCAGTTTCAATAAGTTGGTCACAGATTTGCAAAATAGGGATGCAACTTTTGATGATGGTGACTTGGCCTTGATGTTGTTGGGGTCACTTCCTGATGAGTACGAGCATCTTGAAACTACTCTACTCCATGGAAATGACGAAGTTTCTCTCAAAAAAGTTTGTTCGGCTTTATACAGCTATGAACAAAGAAAGGGAGAAAAATAGAAGGGCGGAGAAGGAGAAGCACTGGTTGTGAGGGGTCGTCCTCAAAATCAAACGAGGACAAGGAAGAGAAGATCCAAGTCAAGGTCTAGACCCAGCAAAGATGAATGTGCCTTTTGTCGAGAAAAGGAGCACTGGAAGAAAGACTGTCCGAAGTTGAAGAATAAGGCCAAACATAACAATGGAAAGGCCATTATGGATTCAAATGTAGCTGATTGTGATGATTCAGACTTCTCATTAGTTACAACAGAGTCATCAACATCATCAGACATATGGTTGATGGACTCGGCTTGTAGCTATCATATGTGTCCCAACAGGGACTGGTTCGTGGAATTTCAAGAAGGAGAATATGGAGTCATCCACACAGCGGATAACAGCCCTCTTACCTCATATGGCATTGGTTCAATATGATTAAGGAACCATGATGGACTGATCAGAACATTAACAGATGTTCGATATGTACCGGATTTGAAGAAGAATCTCATCTCTGTGGGAGCCCTAGAATCAAAAGGGTTCAAAATCATTGTAGAAAAAGGAGTGATGAGAGTATGTTCCGGTGCACTAGTTGTAATGAAGGCCAATTGGAAAAATAATAATATGTACCGTTATCATGGTAGTACAGTTATTAGGACAGCGACAGTGGCATCTAGTGACGAAAAAGAGGCAGAAGCAACCAGGCTATGGCACATGCGCTTGGGACATGCTGGAGGAAAATCCTTGAAAACTCTATCAGATCAAGGATTGTTAAAGGGAATAGAGGTTTACAACTTGGAGTTTTGCAAGCATTGTATCAAAGGGAAATAGATAAGGGTTAAATTTGGTACAGCAATCCATAATACTAAAGGCATTTTGGATTATGTACACTCTGATGTTTGGGGTCCTTCCAAAACACCTTCATTGGGTGGGAAGCACTATTTTGTAACTTTTGTTGATGATTTTTCCCGAAGAGTGTTGGTGTATACAATGAAGAGCAAAGATGAAGTGTTGGGAATTTTTCTCAAATGGAAAACGATGGTGGAGAATCAAACAGACAGGAGGATCAAGTGTATTCGCACAGACAGTGGAGGTGAATACAAAAATTATCATTTCAATAAGGTCTGTGAAAATGATAGCATCATCCGACACTTTACTGTCAGACATACACCACAATAGAATGGAGTGGCAGAACGTATGAACCGGACCTTGCTGGAGAAGGTACGGTGTATGTTGTCCAATGCTGGCTTGGGCAAAGAATTTTGGGCTGAGGCA